AAAAGTTTTCGGAATGTCCTGAAAATCCATGGAGGCACTTTTTGGAAAATATAAAAAATACTGGCGAAAGAATCAAGACCAGGGGGCCCACACCCTGTCCACGAGGGTGGGGGGCGCGCCCTCCCCCCTAGGCGCGCCCCCCTGCCTCGTGGGCCCCCTGAGGCTCTGCCGACCTCAACTCCAACTCCATATATTCTGTCTTGCGGAGAAAAAAATCAGGGAGAAAGTTTCATGGCGTTTTACAATATAGAGCCGCCGCCAAGCCCTAATCTCTCTCAGGAGGGCTGATCTGGAGTCCGTTCGGGGCTCCGGAGAGGGGGATTCGTCACCGTCGTCATCATCAACCATCCTCCATCACCAATTTCATGATGCTCACCGCCGTGCGTGAGTAATTCCATCGTAGGCTTGCTGGATGGTGATGTGTTGGATGAGATTTACCATGTAATCAAGTTAGTTTTGTTAGGGTTTGATCCCTAGTATCCACTATGTTCTGAGATTGATGTTGCTATGACTTTGCTATGCTTAATGCTTGTCACTAGGGCCCGAGTGCCATGATTTCAGATTTGAACCTATTTTGTTTTCATGAATATATGTGTGTTCTTGATCCTATCTTGCAAGTCTATAGTCACCTATTATGTGTTACGATCCGACAACCCCGAAGTGACAATAATCGGGATACTTCTCGATGATGACCGTAGTTTGAGGAGTTCATGTATTCACTATGTGCTAATGCTTTGTTTCGGTTCTCTATTAAAAGGAGGCCTTAATATCCCTTAGTTTCCGCTAGGACCCCGCTGCCACGGGTGGGTAGGACAAAAGATGTCATGCAAGTTCTTTTCCATAAGCACGTATGACTATATACGGAATACATGCTTACATTACATTGATGAATTGGAGCTAGTTCTGTGTCACCCTAGATTATAGCTATTACATGAGGAATCGCATCCGACATAATTATCCATCACTGATCCATTGCCTACGAGCTTTTCACATATTGTGCTTCGCTTATTTACTTTTCCGTTGCTATTGTTACAATCACTACAAAACCCAAAAATATTACTTTTGCTACCGTTACCTTTATTATCATACTATTTTGCTACTAAATACTTTGCTCCAGATACTAAGTTATCCAGGTGTGGTTGAATTGACAACTCAACTGCTAATACTCAAGAATATTCTTTGGCTCCCCTTGTGTCGAATCAATAAATTTGGGTTGAATACTTTACCCTCGAAAGCTGTTGCGATCCCCTACACTTGTGGGTTATCATTGTGCATGTTAAATTGCTATCATATATGCATGTGAATGTTTTTTGTCGATCATTATGTTGTATGCATTGTATTGTTATCTTATATGCAATGCATTCCCATAAATTTCAAGACAAAGAGGAAATCTCCACAATTCCAACCTGACATGTGCATTTGCAATCCAAAGCTAAACTTTCTATATGCACATCTCCAGGGGATTTATATCTATGTCTTGAAATTCACAATCATCACGTTTTTTTACTTCCAACTTATTTACCATGTCTCGAAGATTTAACTATATTGTCATCAATCGTCCAAAAGGGGGAAGATTGTAAGTGCATCTAGTGCTCCTGGAGGTTTTGGGTGATTAAAGACAACACAATTAAGGGATTGTTGTGTTCGTGAGTATACACATGTGAAAGTCTTTGATGATTTTGTTTTAACATGAGAGTTATGCCCCTTTAAAATTGTGATGACAATGAATTCTTTCAGATCGCCTGTTCGAGGAATAATTAACTCGTCAAGAGGATTATGAAGTGTAGTGATGAGTGATGTTTTCTAGTTTCATTTTCTTCCATTTAAGTCACAAGGAAAACCCTACTATTAAGGGGTGTATGAGTAAACGCTGAGATTTAAGTATGCGATGTATGCTCAATCTAGTTGTGGGCACTGATTTTCTCTCTGAGTCCGAGATGATGTTATTTGGGACTCTGAAGAAGAATTGCTCGCAGTTGAGTCAACTTGAGTTGTTCTGCAACTAAGCAGCGATTTATTTTTGAAATCCGACCATCATGCTACGTGTTGGTTGCCCATTAAGTGGCGAGTGACCATATTCGTCATTTTACACCTCAGGATTTCTCTGGCTATAAATAATCACCCACTTCAACCCTAAATGGTGACTGCTCTATGAGAGAATTGGCAAGAGTTTGTCAGACCAACCCATTCTCCCATAAGACATTGAGAACATCCTAAGAGAGAGAAAATGCCAAATCCTAATAACCACTAAGTGATTGATCATTAGCGAAGAACTAATCGAGACTTAACTCAACATGTTACTCTTTGTGGATTGTGCATCCACTAGATGGAGTGTCCAAGAGTAACTATGGATAGCCGATGAACAAGTCTGTGAACGCCTCCAAGATCTACCATGAGTGATTGGGCGGAGTCTATGTGACTTTATCTCAAGGAGAGTAGGTGAAGTCTTCGCTTTTTGAGTTAAATCTCGACCCCCCCAACTAGATGTAGAGTTGTGCAAGGAACTCGAACTGGTCGGAAGAATCTCCTTCGTTAAGCTAGGAGTTCTATTTCTTCACACTCTCATTTACATATGTGTTGTTTATCTTTCCGAAGATCATCTTCCCGTCTTCTTCCTCTGTGATTGATACGAAGATCATTGCGAGTACTCCACTATGTATGCTATGTTTGGCTCTGTACCCACATCCTCTCTACTCATTGTAGGTAATTATTCTGTTAGACTTTTCTATATGCAATGTTACTTAGTCATTCTCCTATCTAGTCAGCTGATCTCTATGTCTCAGTTATTTTAGCTTGTTGCCTCTCTGAGTTATATGCAGTTCTACTTTATTTACTCTCTATTCAGTTTTGTTACTCACTGTGTGCTCAAATTGTTCGGAAGACTTGCTATTTTGAAGACATTGTTATATCTCCCATTGAATCCCACTTTTAGTCGATATCAGATTCTACACGTAGGGATAAGAAAGATGTTAAGCCAAGATTTATTAGTTGTATTCTTTTGTTTCAATAATTTAATTAGCATACTATTGATATAAAATGAGTAGATAATCCAATAAACGATAATTTGTCTATGACGAAAAACATCCCTGGCCACCCAAACCCTCTCCCTAGCCCGCGTCATTTCCCTATCGAAGCGATCAGTGCTGCTCTAGAGCATTAGTGCTGCATTCATGCCACCGAGAGCGGACGCGGCCTGTCACGCCACTCCAGCATTAAAGTGATGTGCCGCCGAGAGCGCTGGTGCATGCGACTACGCTTTCAAATGATAGACGGGCGTGGACATGGGCGAGTAGGAGGCGTTGCTCCAATCTTACCGCACCGTCTGCGGCATCCGCTGCCTATGAAAGGCCACCACTTCTCCCCTCGCTTAGAAGCAAAGCTTAGCGGGCTCATCATTGTCAGTCGATTAGCTGTTTGCACACTGCGGAGGCGGAACTTCAGTTTCCGGGGCTCATGCCCGGCCGAACAGGGGGAATGTGCGCCGGTGGTTATTTAGACTAGGTTTAGAGTACGGTTTAGTTGAAATATGTTGAAATGTAACAAATTTTCTTTGGTGTAGATGAGACGCATCCTTTTTTTGAGCTCTTTTACGGTACCGGGTAATGAATACGGGCCCTCCATTCTGGAAGATCCAACGGCCCAAAGAGATATATACTGCTGGAATTGGTTTAACAGTATAAAGACTGCACTGCTCGATCAACGTAAGCGGTATATGTGATTTGAGGGCAACTCGGGAAGATTTTTAAGTTTCAGCTCGTCAAATTGAGGCGCCCCACGCATTCTCCCTCGGCGAGCCGATCTCTCGTCCCTTCCTCGGCCAGCCTGTGCTCGTGGATCAGGCGCTCGGCGGCATGGCGCAGGTCTCGGTAGTCGGCACCCGACGTCTCCTGCCTACACCGGATGTGAGGGCAGAATGGCGCAACTTCTGTTCTTCGGCAGGCCGGATGCGAGGTATCCTCATCCCACAGGTGACAAGCGCTGACGGATAATTTAGTGTTCACCTTTGTAGAGAGTTGGCCATATCCAATGCAAATTCAGGTTTTAAGCTGCACTACTTGGTTCAGGCTGTTGGCAATTTCAGTGATGGGTTTGTTATTTCCTAGCAGCGGCAGCTAGCCCCTTGGAAGAAAGTTTTTGACATCACTCGGTTTTTACGATGCAGCCAAGTATGGATAACTGAACTTCTAATCCATAACAAGGCGGCGGACGTTCGAGGCCTGTTGGAAGGTTACGGATTTGTGAGGCTACAAGAGGAGCATGCAGACAGCTAGATATGGATGGAGTGAACTAGCACGGCGGCAGTGAGGGGGAGTTAGATGGCCGGGGCGTGCAATATGGGAGACGGTGCGTCTGGATTGAGTCGGCGGCGTTTTCTCTCGACAGTCGACAGCCATGACAGATTCCAGATACAAACTAATAAGAGTTTGGTTTTCTTTTAATGTGAAAAATCAGAGGTCTAAAATACCCTCAAGAATTGAACGGTGAGATTAGATATATACTGCTCCTTTTTCCGTAGCAGTATCCGGTTTGTTTAAATATGCATCAAATTTGTTCACTTTCATTAATTTATTTTTTAAATGTAACCGGCCGTTTGTGGCTACGGTTGTATGACCGGTTCCCACATCAGTGTCTGCAGACTGGTCCTCCGGCCCACAAACATATGAGGTGTCCAGTTTGAAGCTAAACGTTGGAGAAACCCTAAACTCCCCATCACTAAATTCAATTTACATGGTATTTAAATATAAAGATTCATAAGCTTTGAAGAGAAATCAACAGAGTTTCGCGGGTCAGGTTTCAAAATCGAAAGGGAGAAGCAGAAAATATCTGTGCTTCACGTGGCTGCTCCCCACCCATGGCCGACTGGCTTGCCGATTTGGGGCAAAAGCAGAGGCTTGGCCACACCCCATTCGCTACGCCTCAACCACCCCATTCCGGGTCTCTCTCTCCAGGCCGGCGGCCGCATTCCCCTTCCCCTCCTCTGCTCCGGCAACCAAGACAAGATGGCTTGCGGCGGCAAGAAGGCGAGGGTTGAATCGCCGGCGGCCGACATGACTCTCGGTGAGGACGATCTGCAGGTCAAGGAAGAGGAGGAAACCGCAGCGATGATGGTGGTGGCCGCCGCCGCCAACGCCGCCGCCCCGCGAGTGGAGATCGTCGTCGAGTTCGACAAGTCCCTGCTGGACTGCCCCCTCTGCTCGCTGCCCCTCAAGCCGCCCGTCTTCCAGGTACGCCACAAATGGACCGTCTTTCCTTCCAGTCCCTGCTTGATGCCCTGCTTGCTTGAACCTTGAACAAATCAAGAAAATTGCTTCTTGCGCAGTGCCCGGCGAAGCACGCGGCGTGCGGCCCCTGCGCCGCGAACCACGCCAACAAGTGCCCGGCGTGCGACGATGGCGCGTACGAGCGCGACGAGGCGGCGGACCGCTACCTCCTGGCGGTCAGGGTGCCCTGCCCCAACCAGGCGTACGGCTGCGGGAGCTCCGTGGTGTACTGCATGGTGGGCGACCACCGTCTGGTGTGCCCGCACGCGCCGTGCCGCTGCCCGGAGCTCGGCTGCGGCTTCCTCTGCCCGCCGCCCGCGCTCCGCGCCCACCTCGCCGAGCGCCACGCCTGGCCCGTGACCGGCATCGCGTACGGGTCCGTGCTGGAGGTCCAGATGCAGCCCGCGGAGCAGGGGCGGCGGCTGCTGTCCGCGGAGGGCGGGGAGTGGCTGTTCCTGCTCGTGGCGAGCGAGCGCGGCGTCAAGGTGGTGCGCGTGAGCTCGGCCGCGGACGAGGAAGGGCCGGCGGCGTCGTGGTACAGGTGCAAGGTGTGGGTGCACGCGCCCGTGGACACGGACACCGGCCACATGGACGTCCAGATGCTTGACGCCAAGATGGGGAGCTGCGCGGTGCCCTCCGCGGAGGCGGCCATGGGCGCCGGTGGTAGGTACCTGCCGGTGCCGTCCGACGTGCCGGCGCCGGAAGGAGGAGGGATCGTCATCCGTCTCCGCATCGACAAGGAGGTCAAGGTCAGGGCGAGCAGGAGCCCCCGTTCCCGTGCCTGATTGGACATTGTTGCCAGCTTCGGTTCTTTATCCCTTATCTAACTAAGTAGTGCTCAAAGGTTGGACCTTGGCGATTTGGTAGTGAACTGGTGGTGGTGATCAAAGGTTGGACCTTGGTTGATTCTGTCCATGGCAATTTTTGCCAATGTATCGCGCAGGCTATGCTGCTGATGACTGGTACGTAACTAGTAATCCAACTTGGCCTGTTCATGTCGATTGCTTGCCTCTCATTTTACTTGCTTCACTGCTGCAGTTCTTTAGCATATACTCTAGACAGCAGACAAAGCAACATGTCTGAAATTTAAGAGGCATAATGCCAGTGGGTCAACATTTCTGTCGCATACCTTGCAACAATTCTATTAGGCTTTCTCGGCTGCTGGTTACTTGCTAGGATTCATAAATGGGAGGGACCTTGTAGGATGTTAACTGTCGGTGTGTCCAAGCTAAAAATGCAGCAGTTATGACTGAATTTCTTATCTGCTGGGTAGTAGTGGAATGCTAGTCTAGTTGCTCTTACTATATAGGATGTTAATTGTTGGTAAAACTGAATATGGTTTTGCGCGACGTTACCGACGAGCAGCCGGACTGTTTTTTCATTCTAGTGGGAAGAACTGGGCAAGTGAAATGCTTGTTTGTCTGACCCCTTACAATCCATTGCACATTTCTCTGAATGTTATGCTTCTTCAGTTCTTTATCCATTCTTTGTTCCTGCTGAATGTCATGCTAATTTTCTTATTTCCTTCAGTGTGAGGCTGAGCATGTTTTGTGTTCTCCGTGCACATCTTCAGACCTAAATTAAAGACAAGTATTACTCAGAAACTTGTGTTACTTCCGTCCCAAATTACTTGTCTTAGATTTTGCTAGATACGGATGTATCTAACACTAAAACGTGCCTAGATACATCCATTTCTAGACAAATCCAAGACAAGTATGTGATATGCTAGTGATTTAACATTTACATGGCATAAATTGTAGTTATCCCTTGTTTGCTTCTCAAAGGAATAGATGTTCCATTTTACTTACTGGATGCTGCTGTTCTTGGTAGGATGACCGAATGGCATCTTTTACGATCCTGATTGCTGGTGTCCTGAAAACTGAATATGTAGCAAATCTACTGGGTAGTTGTGGAATGCTAGTTTAGTTGGTTTGCTGCGACATAGGATCTTTGTTTCTGGTGTCTCAAAACTGATTTTTTTTTCATAACATAACTTGAGGAGCAGTTTGTTTATGAACTGTATGTTGCACTTTCTTTTTCCTAAGAATGCATCGCTGTAGATGCTTTCCTGATTGTTACTGGGACTAAAAATTAGAATCTTTTCTCCCTGGACAGTAACAGGGCAAAGGTGAGAGTTGCATGCTGTTTTCTCTGTAATTTAATAATGTCAGTGGATCGGCATGTTGGTGCCCTAAATTGCAATTACTCCTTTGTGCTTTTGGCTCCTGCTGTTTTTGCTAGGATAACAACATGGTACCATGTAGGATCCTGATTGTTGGTGCCTAAAAACTGAATTTGTAGCAGTCAGAACTCAGTTTCCAATTTGCTGGGTTGTAGGCAAATGCCACTTTAGATCCTGGTTGTAGGATCTTAATTATTTGTTTCACAACTCAATATATTTTTCCATTCATAACCGAGGAGCATCCTGTTACTATGTGCGTGATTGATATCTTCCTTTCTGCTTGCATTGCATTTGCACCCTGTTGTTGTGATCTGATGAAAGGATCGAGTAGGCGCTTCGCTCACCATTGTTTGTTTCTCTGGTTTATTGTCCAATTTTTTGTTGCTGTTGATTGTTACTCCAAATTTTCTTACATTCCTTCAGTGTGTGGCTGGGCACGTTTTGGTTCTCTGTTGATGTCGGTTATGTATGTAGTCAGGCTGGGCATATGCCATGGTTTATGTTGCAAAAACCCTAGCTATAGCCGTTGCACCGAACTCGGGCAATTTGTCGACGCCATGAAAGTGCCATGCTGGAATGAAATGTATGGCTGCAACAAGTTCGGTCATCAGCTACGAGCAGCAAGAGCTGCACCTTGAGATGCCCAACAGATTCTCTACTGAACCCCTTTGTCACCGTGCACGGATGGCCACCGACCAATTTCCGTTACAACAAGCCTCTGAAGATCTCCATGGCACGAGACTGCCGGTTCATGCTGCTCGTCGACGAAGCCCTGACCATGTTCCTCCTGACCAACACTCTGACCAGCATCGGTAATTGAAGTACCAATGGATCATCAGTATCTTGCAGCTCAAAATTATATTTGACAAGTTTGCTTAGCTTCTAACATGAATATTCTTGGTACTAGTCTTTGACACACTTTTGCTTTGCCTTCTCTGCATTGCACAAACGCTAAGTTCGGAAAACAACATGACACTGCCGTGTTTTTTTTTCAAAATAAAGTACATGGAGTAAGTTCGGAAAAAGGCGAAAAGTCTATACATGCTGTGGAAATAGATACAACAACAACAACAAAAGAGCCACAAAGGCTCAAAACTACACAAAGGAATTAACCAAATTCTCAAAATTGTTGTAGTTCTTCCATGTGAGCTCTTCGTTGAATTTAGTCCGGCAATTATATAAACTGGGTGTAATGCCCTTGGATATCCAATCCACTACAGGAAAAATTTAAGCCGTGTACCCAATACACTCGGCTTATGCCGATTTGAACGCGGTTTATATATAAGCTGAGTAAAACTCCTGACTTTTATTACAGGGCTTATAGTAGAGCGGCTTATCAGGTATAAGCCTAGAGCCATGGCAAAAAGCTTCGTTTATATACGAGGCGAGTGTTTACACGTGGCTCTCGGCTTAATAAAGAAACATGATGGCAGCGGATGTTAACAGCCACGTGTCACCGTCTATATAAACTAAGGGCCTAGGTGAGCCACATGGTTTATAGATAAGCCGAAGGCCGCCATGCGCCACGCGGTTTATATATAAGCCAAGGGCCGTGCTGAGCCGCCTAGTTTTATACAAATTGAGGGCCAAGGTGCGTCATCTGATTTATATATAAGCCGAGGGCCACCGTGCGCCCCCGGTTTATATATAAACCAAAGCCTTCCTCCCATCTTATATTTGGCAGGGCCGAGGCATATATGCGTTATAAGCCGGGTGCCAAATCCCTAGGGTACTCGACTTATAGCCCACCCTGGCATATATGCCTTATAAGCAGGGTGCCGAATCCCTAGGATACTTGGCTTATAGGCCAAAAGCTTGTATAGATGACGTCTATTGCATGTAAGCTGAGGGCTTTTCGCGACCACCCGGCTTACAGGATACTATAAGCCGAGGTCAGTTTGTTTGACAAGTGTTATTTCCACTGCGCTCGGCTTAGAGGAACATAAACCGAGTCCCAAAGAATAGCTCACAGCTTATAGACTCACTCACGGCAAAACGGAATTTTCCTGTAGTGATCATTCTGTGTGGTTCAGGTTGCCCAAGAAACCAAGACGATTAATTCTAGAGAAAAAGGAACTCCTATGTATCATAAGAAAATTATTATCTACTTGTAATCCCCAAAGAGTGGGTGTCCAGCTTGGGCTTAAATAAGACCAGCAAATCTGTGCAAATGGGAAATGGAAAAAAGAGGTGATGCCTAGTTAGTTTCTGTTGAATATATTACGTGTATATTGTGTCCTGTGCTCACCTTCTAGTTTATCTGTATAGCTGAGGTTGTGGCCCCTCTCTGTACTCATATATACGTACCTGGTGCACCGATCAATGCATTGCGTTTGCACAGCCTATACTTCTTGTTCTATATGGTATCTATCGCAGCACGTTCCTAGCCCTAGCCGTCACCGCCGCCGCCGCGCCTCCCCTACCCGTCGCCACCTGCTGCCGCTGCCGCCGCCGGGCCTTTCGGTCACAGTCGCCGCTACTCGTCGCCGCCACCCGCCCACCAACACCCGTCGCGCCACCAGCCGCCGCCGCGGCTTCTTCCTCCAAGCCGCCGCCGCAGCCGGTCGCTGTCGCGACCTTCCCCGCTTCCGCACCTCTTCCCACCACAAGTCGTCTTCTCGCGCCAAACCCTAAACCCCACCCCACCCCACCCGACTCGCGCCGCCACCCCACCCGAACCACGCCAAACCCTAAACCCTAGCCACCCGCTCCGCGCTTTCCCCTTCCTCCCAGCCGCACCATGAGCTCTTCCTCCTCCACCGACTCCAACCCCTTTGCCGGTCCCGACGTCAACCTCGTCCGCGATCTCAACATCCACGAGCGCGTCCTGGTGAAGCTTGATCAATCCACCGCCTCTACTCTGCTTGAAAGCGATACTTCTCCTTGGTGTTTCGTGAATACCTACTCCACGACCACGTGGACGGCACCGTGGACTCGAGCCTCATGATTCATGACAAGGAGTGGATGATCCTCGACGCCACCATCATCCGTTGGTTCTACCTCACCTCCTCCAACGACCTCTTCCACACCGTGGTGGCTGATGACGACGACGCCTACGCCGTCTAGACCAAGCTCAATGGCCTCTTCACCGACATCAAGCTGCAGCGCAAGGTCCTCCTTCACATCGAGTTTTACGGGTGCCAGGTGCTTGACTCGTCCATCGACAATTTTTGCATGCGCCTCATAAAGCTTGCCGATGAGCTCCGCGATCTTGGCGAGATGGTCGGCGACGAGCTCTCATCAGCATCCTCACCGCCAGCCTCAACGAGGACTTTGGGAACGCCGTCTCTAACCTCACCCTCATCCCGGATCCTACCTTCGCTAAGGTGGTTGCGTACCTCAAGCTGGAGGAGTGACGGATGAAGATGGCCCGGACTCGGGCGACCCACACCGCTCTCGTCGCCAGCACCCGCAGAGGCAGGCGCCGCCACCGCCGCGTCCTGCGCCGGCCCTCCTGCCCACGCCCACCTTCCCGCCAGCGTCGGCCGCCCCCTTCCCGCAACCCCAACCGGCCGCCAACGGGGGCCGCCGCGGAGGCTGCAAGCGGCAGCAGGGCACGGGCGCTCAGGGAGGAGAGGCCCGCCCTCACCAGCAGCAGTACCAGTCGGCCCCGTGGTACGCCGGCCAGAACCCCTGGACTGGCGTCATGCACACCTACTCCATGTCGATTCCCTGGGCCCCTGCCCCGGGTAACCTCGGCGCGTGACCTCCGTCTCACCAAGCATTCTACGCCGCGCCGCAGCCGTATGCGGCGCTCTACGGGCCGCTGCCCTG